AGATGTGCAATGCTTTTTGGACTTTGTTAATTACTATTGAATCTTCATCAAGAATTTTTTTCAAGTTGTAGCTCCACTTACACGTTTGACTTATAAAGACAAACTTGAGTGTAATAAAGAAGCAGAAATATCATTTGATGTTTTAAAGAAGGAATTTATTTCTGCACCAATCTTATATTGCATTGACTTTTCTAAGGTATTTTTTATGGAAACAAACATGTCACATTTTGCTATAGGTGCCATGTTGTCACAAATGGAAACATATGACAAACTCCACCCAATAGCTTTCTATTAGAAGAAATTTTCAGCAATCGAGATTAATTATGAGATCCATGACAAAGAGCTCCTTGCAATCATGGATTCATTTCAAGAATAGCGTCATTATCTAGAAGGTATTTCAAGTCCAGTTACTGTGTATACAAATCATAAGAACCTTGAGTATTTTATATCAACACGTGTCTTAAATTGTCGTTAAGCCCATTGAAGCATGTCTTTATCTAGATTCAATTTCAAGATCACTTATCGACCCTGAAAACAACAAAGTCTATTGGACGCTCTTTCTAGACATTCTTATCTTGTACCAAAAGAAAGAGATGCATCTTTTCATCAACAAAGATCAATTTTCTTGAAGCTCGAGCATTTTCATCTTTGAGCTGTAAAATCAACATTGATTGTTCATTCAACATTTGTGAAGCAAATTCAATCAAGCATGTCCTTTGATCCTCTTGTTGAGGATATCAAGGATACTTCGTCTAAGCCTCATGATACTTCCAAGTTTGAATTCAAGAATAATCTATTATATTTTGAAGGACGCCTATATATTCCAGAGGGTGAAGTACGATTATGTGTTCTTCAAGCTCGTCATGACTTTTCAGTAGCAGGATATTTTGGATACAATAAAAATTTGGAACTAATATCCAAGGATTTTTGGTGGCCGCAAATGTGAAAAGCAGTCAAAGATTTTGTGCAATCTTATGATATTTGCTCAAGATCAAAAACTCCTCGTCATCAATCTTACAAACTTCTTTAGTCATTATCTATTCCAGAACAACCATGGTCTTTTGTTTCTATGGATTTCATCACATATCTTCCAATCTCAGATTCTTATGACTCTATATTCATGATAGTAGATCGTTTTACCAAGATAACATATTTTGTACTATATACAAAATCTATCACAAGTGAAGAAACAACTAAGCTTTTTATTGACAATATCTATCGCTATCATGGATTGCCAAAGGATATTATATTGGATAGGGGGACTCAATTTGTATCAAGATTTTAGAGAATCCTATTCAAGATTCTTAAGGTGGATATAAAACTTTCTTTAGCTTTTCATCCTCAAATTGATGGACAAAGAGAATGGATAAATCAAGTTTTGGAGCAGTATTTGAGATGTATCATCAACTATCATCAAAATGATTGGACAACTCTTTTACCATTGGCAGAGTTTGCATATAATAATTCGATACATTCTTCCACTTAACAAACACCTTTCTTTGTGAATTATGGTTATCATCCACGTCTTGATACTTTTGACTTTTCAAAAGTTGATAATCCTATGGCAAAAGATTTAGCAAATCGCTTGTTAAAGCTACATACAACAATGAAGATACAATTAAAGGAAGCTCAAGAACGATAAAAGATCAACGCGGATGCCTATCGCAAGCCATAATATAACATGGGTTAGAAGATATGGGTAAGAAGATATAGTTACTTTGTCTTAATATCAAGACTACTCGTCTTTGTGATAAATTAGATTATCGTAGACTAGGACCTTTTCCTATTTGTGAACAAATCAATCTTGTTGCCTATCGATTACATCTATCGGAGTCTATGAAGATCCACTATATATTTCATGTGTCTCTTCTGGAGCCGTATAAGACAGTGAATATCTTCGAAAGAAGTCAAATGCCACTTCCTCCTATAGAAGTGGATAATAACCAAGAATTTGAGGTGGAAGAAGTCTTAGACTCAAGGTGGTGCCAAAATAGGTTGGAATATCTTATTCATTGGTACAGATATGATATTAGTGAACGCACATGAGAGCCATCAAAGAATCTTACAAATGCAACAAAGAAAGTTGAAGTCTTTCATCAATGACATCCATCAAAATCAAGATCAAGAATAGTAAACCTTTGCTATAAAAGAAACAAGACCAAAGGAAAATAACATTCTACCTTCTATCTTTCATTGTAGCTTTTGTGTATTTGTGATGAGATGGAGCACCAACAATCAACAGATTCAACTCAAGAACTTTTATTTGCGGACTTACTGGATGAGACATTGCGATTGTCACAACCTTTAAGACGACAAAATCAAGATGAAGATCCTCAAGAATGACATATCTTTCCTTAAATAGATGACGAGATGCAACGTGTTTGGTATCACAATCTTAGAAGAGACTCCCAATGTTTAGTGATTTTATTAGAGGCACGAACAAGTCTTGATAGTACTCCAAATATTTTATTTGAAGGAAGTTATGAAGGCTTCAAAAATGATCAAATAACAGGGTGGTCTTCTCGCCTTAGTATGAGATACCATAGATGGTTGAGAGGACCTATCAACCATCTTCGAAGAGAGCAAAGATCGAAGTATGTGGCAAATATAATTTGCCACATCTTGGACTTCCTCAACATATGAAGACCGCTCCTCGTGGAACTCGTCCCTAGAAGGGGGGGGGGGGGGGTAATGTCACAGGTATATATATTTACGTCAATAGTTACTTATATGATTAAGTAGAAATAGGTAAATATAGAATAATTTCATAAAATTTTCTAGACAAGCTTCCTAGAAGCTTTATAGATGCGATTTTGACTTTAAATGTGTTTGTAGGTTAGAAACTTGGCCAAAAAGCTAACCATATATTTGTAGCTTGTGGAACAAGTTATCTCTATATAATAGCTTGTGGAACAAGCCAACTACGTTGCACATACAAAGATAACTTGCCTTGCAAGATAAGACATGTGGCTAGCAAAGTCAACACATGTTGGAGGTCCTATTGGACATCGCCATGTAGCTCTTAGTTAGATAGTATATATGGAGGCAAGAGTGAAGCCTTCTTTAATCTTGTCAACACCTTTCAAGTCTTAGTCTTGTTTCAAGACTTTCTAATCTTCTTGTTTTTGGCAATAGCCATTCTAGTTAATATTACATCATTTTTTGAGAGACTTTCTAGGTCTCTTCACTGATAGAAGATTATATTGAAGATTCTCTTTCTTTGAGATTCATGTCCTTGACACTCAAATCCTAAGAAAAAAAAACTTTATGTTTTTAAAATAGACTTAAAGTTAGCTCTCTAATTCCAATTGTCAATCTCCAAATGCTCCTATATTTTGTCCTAAGCAGCCATTTTAGTAGCTAGAGGTTTGATTTCGATCTTATTCCATAAACACTCAACCCTCAAGTACCAATCCAATCTATACGAGTGGCTTCTTAGTCTGATCCTACTTTCAACTTAATCTTAGTATCAATGATATTAATTATTTGCCTCTTTTACCTTATTTTTATTAATTAATAGATTTTTTAATGTAATAAAAGAGTTTTTATAATCTTAAAGGTAAAATTATTAATTAACCTTAAATGTATCAGCTATTACGATAAAAAAATAAACTAAAAAGATTTTATAAAAGCCATATTTAAATGTCTTGAATTATTATTGAATCAAGATGATTAGATACTAATTTAAAATTTTATTTTTGATTATATTTTTATCATATAGATGTATTATTATACGACAACATATTGATAGCTTGTGGAATAAGTTAACTATGTAGCACACATATAAAAAACTTCTTTTGCAAATTAAAACATGTGTCGAATAAAATTAGAATGTGTTGGAGGTCCTATAGAATAATGCCATATAGCACTTAATTAGATAGTATATATAAAGATAAGAGTAAAGCCTTCTTCACTCTTATCAATATCTTTCTAGTATTTAGACTTGTTTCAAGACTTTTAGTCTTCTTGTCTTTGGCAATAGCCAATCCAGTTTAATATCTTTGAGTGATTTCTTAGTCTTTTTAAGTGACATAAGAGTATATTGAGGATTTCTTTCTTTGAGATTCATATCTTTAATACTTGGTGGTATTAATACAAACTATGGATGTTCAAATAGTTTGTTTGCGAATTCACAAAAACCATATACAATTCTAACTGAGAAAAAAATATTCTCTATACTTGAGAAATTTATACAATTTAAAACTGAGGTACTGAGCTTATTACCATTGGCAGTTGAATCTTACCATGTAGACTTAACTCCTTATGTTGACTTAGGTACAAAGTACTTTTGAATATGATTGATCTTTGAAAAGATACATTCTTTTAAATTAAAAGCAAAAGTTTATAAATAAAGCTTTTCGGAACCAACTGGCTAATCTCTAAAAAACGTGGTAGACATATTGACAACTTTCATATTTGCTTTCACTATATAAGTCTTAGAAACACATTTTTCTAGACTTGCTTGTAGCTTATACACTTCTTCATTATAATGCAGCATATTCTCCTATGGTATTTATTTGATAGAACTCAAATATCCCAAAAGAGACATTTAACTTTTTTTTAACTGATATTCCCTCACAAAAGCTTCTTTCAATTCAGGCCAATTTAACTTAACAGGTTTTAGTTGTCTTTTGTACCACCTTCCAACTGCTTAATGTAAGAATTATGAAAAAAGTAACGACCAACATTTTTCATCATCATCTTAACTTGCCTTACAAGTTCGTTTGTACTCTCCCAAGTATGCTTTGAAATTCTTATGATCTTCTCTGCAATACAATATTCCATTGCAGAACAAAACATTCACGAAAAAACTAGCGATCACTCGAGATGGCACATCTTCTCCGGAATTTCCTTAGCTTCTCTCCCCTGGAAATGTGACCTCTTCCACTCTGATACTCGGTGATACATCTTTTCATGCGTTTCCGTTCCAAACATTGTCACCACATTCGAGCCGACACACAAACACACACACACACACACAGACGTGATAACAATCTGTGTCATTTTCAACCCTGTTGCTCAATTCCATTACAACATTTACATTCTTACAAGGCTGAAAGCGCACATTGACCCTCGTCCCTTCTGTCGCCTTCAGCTCAAAATCCCAGATGCTCCCAATCCGAAGCCTCGGTTTCAGCTTCAGTTCCGGCTCCGGTTCCGCTAAATATACACTCTCACATCTTCACTCACTCCTAGCAATGTACAAGGGGACCGCGTCGTCTTCGACGTCGGTCATAATTTACAAGTTCAGGGAGCTGTGGATGAATCCAAGTAGGGGCCCCTTCAGGTAGATGTTCTCCGTCACCAGCAGAGCCACCAACCCGATCATCGCTGCTCGCCCGTTCCATCTCTCATTCTGCGCGTTGAACGGGCCGTTCTCGCGGCTGTCTGGAGACTCCTTGTTGTACATCGGGATCAACGTGGCGCCGATCACAATTGGCGCCACGAACAGGAACCAAATCAGGCCCCGCCCTTCCGTCACCTGCTCCCACACGCTTTGCCCGGTCAGGATCTCGGCAACGAAGGCCCACGTGATGCCCAACATGGCCAGCCGGCTGTTGATGGTCTCGGGTGCGGGTCCGTCGAACTTCATCATGCTCTCGGTGCTGGTGTTGCCGTCTTCCGGACGACGCTCGCTTTCGGGGCGGTAGAACTTCTCCACAGGCGACCCCTCGAAAATGCGGAGGGGGTCGTCCTTCTTCTCTGGCTCACGCTTCGTTCCGGGCTGCGCAACACAATTCATTGCCACAACACTCAGTCGTCCGCATGGAAACGCGAAACTCAACCCATTGGTTCCCAACAACCTGTTCAACAAGCAAGGTCACGCCCGTTCGGCCTACGCCAATCGTCTCGCACAAAGCGGCTGGCCTCATGAACTCGAGCTGTGACGTCCCTTCTCTCAACAATCCAACATCCGTCCACCCGCGACCAAGACCTCAGAACACCGCACGAGGCGAATGTGATGCTCACCAGAGGAGTCTCCTGCTTGGCACGCACAACCAAGCTTCGCCGCCCAAGCTGAGAGTTGAACCTCGGAGCTCCGAGCAATGAACCACTCGCCCTGCTCTTCAGTCCCGCACGTCCCAACGACGGGAGTCCAGCCACCGTCTGCACGCAACTCGTGCTCAACAAGCTCGAGGCCGCCATCTCTGCGAGTCACTTGGCGATGCTCCGACCAGGCTATCCGTGGAAGTAAGTGCAGATGAAAACTCTGAAACAGCTTCAATCGGAATCACAATCAAAATTCAGCAAGTCTGTAAGGGCGATTGTCCAACTTGATGAGTGATGCTCGATGCTTGCAATGTGCAGCAGGAGAGAGGTTTTATGAGCGGAGAAGAGCCGAGGAAGGGGTGGAGGTGGCGGGGAGCATTGGGCGCCATGTGGGGGCGTGGCGACGGCAACAGCTGATGGCATCGTCTCCGTCGGATTCCAATGGTCTTCACGGAGGAGGGAGAGATCCAAACCCCCCGCTGCCACGGTGGCGGGAAGGTGGTTTCATGGCCCCTTCCGATGCCGAATGAGGGTGCGCCACATCATTCATCCCTGGCTTTGTGGACAGCCAGCGATGCAATTCCACGTGGGATGGACGATTGTGTGAAGAGACGATCCTGTTCTTTGCGAACTGGATGTGTGTGTGAACATGTGCAGCGAGTGAGTGTTGGTGTGTGGGAGAGTGTTGCTGAATGGGTGGAAGGTCTTACGACATGAATGAATCAGGAGATAGATCAGCGATACAACCTTAGTATTAGTATTGTAGAATGTGTGCAAGTAAACTATTATGCACTGATCCTTTTAATATCTGATACCTTCCATCTTTATTCATGTTTGCACAAATGGCTTCTTCAAGGTCATCACAGTGCTTGCTTGCTGGTCTAATTTTAGTGTGTTGTTTTACCGTTGCTGTGTAGCAATCTCCAAAAGTAGTATGACATGTGCATTACTATAGATTGTGTAGCACTATTCTTGCACACACACTTTTACATGAAACTAAGTGTGTTCTTATTGTTAATGAATTGATTATTTTGAAGTAGTTAGAATGTGAACTAGTAAACACTTTTACATGAAACTAAGTGTGTTCTTATTGTTAATGAATTGATTATTTTGAAGTAGTTAGAATGTGAACTAGTAAACACTTTTACATGAAACTAAGTGTGTTCTTATTGTTAATGAATTGATTATTTTGAAGTAGTTAGAATGTGAACTAGTAAACACTTTTACATGAAACTAAGTGTGTTCTTATTGTTAATGAATTGATTATTTTGAAGTAGTTAGAATGTGAACTAGTAATAGGTGTAACTTACACAAGGGATTGCAAGTCACAAAGTGTGTACAAACTTCACAGAGTTGTGCATATTGTACATATACAAATAATTTGTTCATAGATGCATTTGTTTGATTTGTGATGCTGCATGTAAAATGACTTGCTTGTACAATTGACAAATTGATGTGGATACAGTCAAATATTTTGGACATGCATCATTTCTTTATTTGAGTCAAAATCTTTATTATTCTCTATGCATTTAGAAGAAGATGGCATTTGTCTAATTTTAATATATTTAGTATCTTGTGTTGCTTAAAAAGAGACTTATAGAATACAAGATAGATCGTTATAAACTTTGATAGATGTTAGCATTAGGCAATAGGTATTTGCATTGATTTTTGTTACTCTTGAGGTGTGTTTAATTATACCTTCATTATTGCATATATTTCTAATAAAGGATTTGTCAAATCTTACAATATTGGATTATTAAAAAAATAATGTGAAATGTATGATGTTTGAATAATATCCTTAATTAATTTAAAAGACTATTTGTTGAGTAAAAAGATGTAGTATGGTATTGCCAAAGGCAAAAGAGGTTTTCAATCATCTTCATGGTAGTTGATGTTATATTAAAAACTTTATTTTAAAATTTATTTTATCATTCTTTATGTCTATTATTTTAAGAATAGAAAATTAAAGATAGTTTTATGTTGACTTTTATTATTCAAAAAAGAGTTATTCAAAACTTTTTTACAAATTCAATCTTCTATCTTATATTGTATCCTTTGGCAATTTATGATGGTAGCATGTTTTGTCTAGAAAAAGTTTAGTTGTTTTTTTTACTTATGGTAGTTTTTGTATACGGTATAAAGTATATTGTCTTGGTGAAATGATCTACTATCTCAAATACAGAGTCATTAACTTGAGATTGAAATATCTATGATAAAATCTATAGAAATAAAATACCATGGTTTTTATAGTATAGGTAGTGGTTGAAAAAGTCTATAAGGTCAACAATAAGGGAATTTTGAACTTGAGCAAGTAAAACATGATTGTACAAAGTTTTTAACTGCCTTCAATATTTGAACTCACCAAAAATCTCTTGGTATTAATTCTAAACTTTAGTTGTAACCATAATATTTTATACAAATAATTTTTTTATTAATACTTTTATTTGATTTATGATGTTGCATGTAAAATGACTTGATTGTATAGGCAACAAAGTAAAGTAGATGATTGCTTTATTAGGGTGGAAATTTTTATTTTATACTTAATATTTTTAACATCAAATTATACTTTGCTTTTTAGTGGCATCTATTATATTTTTAGTCATTTTTAATAATAATTTTAAAGAATTAGATAGTAAATTATAGTTTCTTTATGGATATAAACTTGGATGTTTTTAAATCCCATGGTGAAGTCAAAAATATAAAAATATGAGTTCTTCAAGTAAAAAATAGAAGGACAAATAGCTACTCTAGTTCTATAGAAAAGGAGGTATATTAGTTCTATATGGATTGTAGCACCTTAGGTGTAGGTACAAAGATAAGACTAAGGCCTTGAGGCCTCTTTAGGCAAGCCCATTTATATTACATGTGAGCCTTGGTGAGATTCAAATCCTTGATCTTTAAGTAAGTTATCCTTGAAGTAAAATATTTTCACTTAAATTTTTAGTTATTTATTTCCTATCTTTTAACTTTCATAAATTATTCATAGTAATTTAGATTTACATATTTTTTATGTTATTAAAAAGATAATAAAATTATCTATCTAAAGATGTGTTATTTAATATTAAATAAAAATTTAGTAAAAAAATTGAAGACTATTTTTTTTGCATGTAATTACTTGATTATACTTAAGAAAAAGGAAGTACAACCAAATTTTGAATAATTATTTTGCTATTAATATATTTTGAGAATGTAAAGAACTACTATATGCTCTTCAAGCTTGTAAAAAATTTTCTAGATGTAAATTTTTTTTATTACAATTAGACTTTGGAATTAATATCAAGAGATTTTTAGAGGCTTCAAATGAAGAAGAAAATTAAATACTTTATACAACCATGTTTAGTTTGTTTAAGATCAAAATTTCCTTGCCATTGATCTTATAGAATTTTTCAACTATTATCTATACCATAACAACTATAGTCTTTTGTTTCTATGGATTTTATCATGGATCTTCAAATCTCAAGTTTTTATGACTCTATATTTGTGATAGTAGATGATTTCACCAAAATAAAATATTTTATATCATGTACAAAAATTATCATAAATAAAGAAACAACTAAATCTTTTCTTGATAATATATATTTATTATGGACATACATATTTACCTAAATAAGAAATACTAGATAGAATATAAATGTAGGTAGATTTGATATTATCTTATGGCAAAGCTTCTTAAAACCTGCAAAGATGCATATTTGGCTTTATACATGTTTGTAGTTGATTGATAAGTTAGAAACTTGGCCAACAAGTTAGCCATATGTTATACTTGTAGGTAGCTTATGGTACAAGCTAATAATGTAGCATACATATGAGAAAATTACTTTCCAAATTAAGACTCATTTCTTAAAAATTGGACACATATTAGAGGTCCTATAGGACATTGCTATGTAGTTCCTATTTCAATAGTATATATGGAGGTAAAAGTAAAACCTTCTTTATTCTTATTAATGTATTTTTAGTCTTTAGTCATATTTCAAGACTTTTTAGTCTTCTTGTCTTTAGTAATAGCCATTTTAATTCAATATATTACTAACTTTGAGTGATTTTATAGTCTTTTCGATTGACATAAGAGTGTATTGAATTTTTTTTTCCTTTGAGATTCATGTCTTTAACATTTTGAAAGAATACTAACTCACTATATTTATTTTGTATTAGATGTAAATAGATTATCTTCCTTCTATTGTTGTATTTTGAATGTTGAAAAGTATCCATTTTTGTTTTCACTTTTAGTTTTTTAACATTGATTGTTTTTCTTAAAGAGAGTAGGCTATTCCTCTTTATAAAAACTCTCATTTGATATTAGAGGTTTTAAATTATCTTCTTTTAATTTGACTTTTAAATTTATTTGAATTGACTATGGAAGTTAAAATTATAGATGCTATTCTTAATAAAAAAATAAAAATAGATTTATAACTATTGTAAATCTTCATATATTTGTTAATACTATGAAGGAGGAACTCTCATGTATTTCTAACATCAACCATAGATATAGTATTTTCATTCCTATAGAAGAGGTCAATAATGAAGTTTAATATCTATGCCAAAAAATTCTACAATTCAAAGAAGCAAGTAAATCAAGCTCACAATAAAATTAAAAAATTCTTACTATTCCAAATATAAGAGAGTAAAGTATAAGTATGCTTGAGAAGTTAGATGGAATTAGATCAAAATTTTAAAAATTTCTACAATAAATAAAGTTCTATATAAGGTTACATCCTTCTTAATATAATGATAAATTTATTCAAATTGGATTCATATGTGTACTTCTCTTTATAAATATTCTCTTTGGATTTGTAATTTTGATGAAAAAAGATTCACATATTTTTTATGAATTAAATTTATTTTTAAAAGTATTTATGGCTACTTTTAGAAAAATCATCTGAAAAGAGATAACAAAGACCAAACTTATATCTTTATAACAAGGATCACGTTGACCTACCATATATGCTGCAAAATTCCAAAATCTTGCTTGCAATGTAGATTGAAATGATAAAACCCTTATCAATCAATTTCAATATAGATTAAAAGATAACATTCAAGATTTACTATTGATAATGACTAGAATAGATTCATTAATATAATTTATTGCTTAAGCCATTGTATATAATAATTGACTCTTTAAAAGTTGCTAAGAACAAAGATATGATTGGAGAGGTATAAGTCAAGCCATGGCAATAGCCTTGAAGTTTATAAAAGCTTATTCATTGAAATCAAAACCTATCCAAATTAATACAATATGTTTCAAGCTTCTAACTAAGCAAGAAAAAATATGATATTGTCAAAAAAATTTATACTAATATTATGGAAAACCTAAGCATACTGCTTAATAT